ACCGGAACATCCATAGGGGTGTTCCGGTGGAGGTGCTAAATCTTTCGTATGATGTACTTTGAGGAAGATGGAGGATAGCCTCCATCTTCCTCAAAGTATATCATACGAAACCAGATCAAATGCTTTGGAGAGATCTAGAAAGCAGACGTACACCGGCTTGTATAATATTGGACAGTGTGCTTTAGGCTTAGTATTGCGCTTTCAGTGGATAGTCCGGGCCTAGGCCCGAACTGCGCGTCATGTAACTTCAGATACTTTTGCAAGCATGAATCAAGCAGACTTTGGACACCGTGGTAGTAAGAGAAATAGGGCGGTAGTTTCCCTTATCCGAGATATAATCTACCCTGTTTTTGACAATGGGCACCACAATAGTTTTCATTAGATCTGGGGGTAGATATGAATGTCCAATGCACATATTGAACAATAGAGACAGGACCCTTGGGAGGTGTACACCCGCATGTTTTAGGTGCTTGATACTGAGCCCGTCGCGTCCGGGAGATTTGCCCCTGTTCATCCACTTGATTACATCTCTGACTTGACTAGCCGTAAACAATAGCATAGGCTCATCCAGCCGCACGCCAGGCTCAGGACCAGGCATCCCCGTGGAGGAGCCCAACGGCGATCGTACCCTGAAATGTTCCATAAACAGGTTTGCAATTCCCTCCGGGTCACCAATACCATCTACTCTGGCCGGCAGGCCAGGCTTAATCTCCAGTTTACTATTGAACTTCCAAAATTTCCCAAAATTTTTATCCGCTCGCAGTTTCGCTATTTTATCCATTTTGATTTGCTCTTGGTTATTTATGCACCATTTCAGTATACTTTTAAAAACCTTGCGTGACTCGCGCATCTGCTCATATATTTCGCCTACAGCGGGTCTATTATATAAAACCCACATTTGAAATTTAAGCCTGGCCTCCCGATGAGCATCCCTCACATTTTTATTCCACCTACACAGGATCTTTTTTCTACGAGACTTATTAATTTTTACGTAATTTGTTTTAATAGCCGCCATTTTTAGTGTACTTACAATTTGTTCATAGAAATGTTGACCAAACCTTTATGACAGGCGTTATCGCATGACCCGTGACTGCAACTAGCGAATTCGGGAGGAAAATCAATGTCTCGTAGCTCTTTATGACATAACTGTTGGTACTTTCTTTTCTGAGACTCACTTCTTTCTCCCCACGTAACCGCACCGCGTTGCATGTCACGCATCACCCGTTTAGGCCTTACATTTTCTAAACTACACTCTAAGTAGATAGGCAGATGATCCGATCCACATACATCTTCAACTATACCTACATCAGTGACAGTATGCCAGGCTGATAGGGAGACCACACAGGGGTCTAGACACCTCGTACCACCGTGACACTGGTCTAGAAAGGTGTACGTATTTGACCCTATCATTTGTACATCTGCATATACCCAAGACTGATCCCTACAGAAACGACTTAGTTCGGTGTAGAAAAGTTCTTCGGGATGTGCATTATAATCTCCTAATATATACATATTCTCCACGTTGTTACTAGCTTCAATTGCATTTATTTCACTTAGTATTTCTGTAAAAATAGGTAAGTTTTTATCCAACTTAGTCGGCATATAAACAGAAAATACCAAGATGGATCTATCCCCTACTACACCCTTGATGGCAGCTAGCCGCTTACTAGAACATTCTATAACCGATACACAGTCGAACAAGCACTTCTTCTAGAGAATAGCTACTCCATCGTATGGTCTCCCCTTCAGAATACCAGAGGAAGTGTCCACAGCAGACTTACCGGTGTACTCAAATTCGTCAGAAACAGTCCCTAATAACGGAATATCTTGACTAAGAAGCCAAGTCTCCTGTAGACACACTATACTACCCGTTCTACATAAATTCCGAACATCGTTAATCAGTCCTAAAGTTCTTACAGTTATAGCTATACAATCTGCAGTAATTTGTTTTATTTTCACAATACATATTAAAAAATTATTTATGAACTTTATCACTAACCTACTCACGTACAGTTTTGTACCTAAAATGCACAAACCTCCTAAAGGTTATGCCATCTTGCCTGAATTCATCATCTTAAAATAAACTCAATTTATTTTTCGAAACAAATAATTTATACGCATTATATTTTCTTGTAGAATTCATTTTTATCATTTTTAGTGTCACAATTTCATTAGTTTTGTCTTTAATGTAACTAATAATATCTTGTTTACACGCTTCCTTACTAACGTTAGATATAAACAACGGTATTTTGACATCCGCAGCTTTAAACTTCACATCAGGGGCCGTGGACGCTTTACATTTCTGACCGATGAGTTATATTTTAGCGGTTGTAGATCTGACAATTTGCCACTCGTTAGTATCCTCTACTACCGTTGTACAGTCTTTTATTCTACTTTTCCCCACATCACTAGATTTACATGCTACCGCCACCGCATACAAAGAAACAGCTGTTTGATTGTTCGAGGTATGACTCGGCTCGCTGACGTCACCGTCGTCCGCGCAGGTAAAGATATCAACAGGTGTGTACGGAACCGCAGTACTCTCCATGGCCTCCAAGCGCTCCAAGCAATGCTCCGTCTTGCTCCCCTTCCGCTTATTATCGCTTCCCGAATTTTCTTTCCTACACCTCTCACTCACGGCATTCGAAACCGCAGTAGGGGCCTCCACGAGTTTTTGGTGTTTTGTTTCATCTTGTTTACTGCTTTGGAAAGAGACAGCCTCAATCTCGCTATGATAATACATCTCTGGCATTCGTGTTGGTGTTGAATGCCCGTTATTATTAATTTTAACAGCTGATTCCTGTGCAGATTTTATAGGCACTTATTGGAGTCCCATTGGGCCACTGTTTAGGTCAAAGTTATCACTATCTTATTGGCAAGCACCACGTCGTTTATTAGCGCAACTATGAACTGGAAAGCTTTCTACTTTAGGTGCATGCTTCATGTTGTCAAGCTCAAGTTTTAATGTCTCAAACATCTCAATTGTTACAGTCTTTTCTCGTAATAGACTTGTAAATTCGCAATGTCCTTAAGCAGACGTGTACAACCAATGTGGTCAAAACCAACACTCGGAACTGCATGTAGGTCCTTTGCCACAAATATGGAAAGAAGTTCCGAGTTCACACACACACACACACACACACACACAGATTTTAGACGAGAGATGATGTCGTCTAAGTCTTTTGACATTCGTTTTTTACCATCTCCACGCCGCAGTGGCATCTTCTTCACCTTGGGTAGCGAATCAAACAGCAATGTTTTTGCTGTCACAATCTGGTCCACACTGAACGAAGACGTGACCAGGTGATGAACGCTTTCTTCATCCATATAATCCAACACATTAATTAAAAATGTCAACAGCTCATTAATCACCATATCACAGTTGGTGCACTTCACGGACGACGTCGGCCTTCTGTGAGTCACAGACTTACGCCGAAACGCGTTCGCACGCAGTCGAGTGCGACTTAAGACTGACTTAATAAATTTATCTAAATTATAAAAAAACAAAATTTGATTTCACATTCCTGGAATCGAACCCGGGCACTCTCGCTTGCAAACTGCAAATCTGTGCCTTTACCAAATACACATTGGTTGAATAGAAACTCAAAGACATTACTTTAATAAACTAAAAGTTAAAAAAATTACATTTAACTTTTTTTATTAATAAAAGTATTTAGTAAATTTATCTAAATATATAAAAGACAAAATAATTTGACTTCTTATTCCTGGAATAGAACCCGGGCACCTCGAGTGCAAACTGCAAATACATACCGCTACCAAATACACAACTGTAATAAATTACGCTGCTAAAATTCATAGTTTTATTGTTATAAAAAATATTTCGTATTTTATATAAATATTTCGAGCTCAAAGACATTACTTTAATAAATTAAAAGTTAAAAAAATTACATTTACTTTTTATTAATAAAATATTAATAAATTTATCTAATTATAAAGAAAATTTACTTTATTAAGACGACCGTATAAATTACGCTCTATATTTTTAAAACTTTTAACGGTATTAAAAAGTTAGGAACATTTTATTATTTCTTAATATTTGGGAGTTTGATTTTTATAAAAGTTTTTCACTTTATGTCCCATTTTTACAAATGATAATTATTAACAAGTTACCTTACTACGTTATTTTAACTTAAAATGTTTTATATCGACATATACACAAAAGAAGAATATTTGAAGAAAGAAAATTTCTATGAAATATTGAATTTAAAAATAAAATTATACAAATACATTAAACAATCTTTATGTAAATACTGCGGCAAAAATAACGACGCGTCTATATAGCTTCAGGCATCGGCCGGTAGTTTTTACAGACACAGGCGTTTACGCACACATCCGTACGTTTTATTTCAGAAATAAGAATATACGATTTAAAAAGAATCAATAAAATGGACTAAAAAATTAAAACAATATTAAGTTAATATGTAGCTTGTATTATAATCTGACAAAAAATCGGAATTATTGTATGTACATTATTATTTTTTTACTCGTTAAAATAAATTTTTAGCGCTAATTTGTGATTTTTTTCTATCGTATCAAATTAGTAGTATCATGTTTTCAATACAATACCTAACTAGCATATATACAGAAAAATATCATTTATTTTTCTGGGTTTGCTTATTGCAGTGGATCATATACTTTGAGGCATTATAAAACTTGCGTTTAGCTCCTGTAGGCCCCTTAATGTTATTAAAGGAGGTAGTGGGACTCCTTTACTGCTTGGGTTCTCGTTTAGGTATCATCATCTTAGCTATTCCTGTCGCCAAATAGTAGTGCACTGCTTTGTTCCAGTGTGAAGAGTATAGAGTGCCAGTATGATTATAGGCTGTGAGGCATTTCATCATTGTTCTCGGAGGTGACAACGCATTTTTATTTCTTTTTTTGAAAAAAGCTGCGTGAGTGGACTGTGTTACCTATGTTAGTTTGTCACTGGAATTTAAAAAAAAATATAAGTATATAATAAAAAGGTATTTTTATTTCAGATTCAGCCATATGGTCTGTTGATCAGCTTTGTGTTGCTACCGATGGTGACCGTTGAAGCTGAGAATGCGCCAAAAATGGACGGCGCTGGTGACATCAAGGATTTCGTTATCAAACCGAACGAACTCGCAGCAACTAGATTGAATGGAGTCATCAATGACTTTGTAAGGCTAGGTGTATTATGATAACTATATCAATTTAACTATGTCAAAAGTATTGTACAATATCAAATAATACAGAACAAATTGGAATAAAGCGAAAATTTGTGCAGAAAGAAAATTATAAAAACACAAAAATAACCATCGAAAACAACAGACGTAAGCAAGTAGTTTTGGAGTGAATAACAAGCTTACTTAGATTATCACATTGCATAAAACCAGCCAACCAACCAAATGGTGAACGCCTAAAAAGAAGGTTATCTGGGAATAGTCTATATTCTTCTTCCGAAGTTGTTTAGGAAGATAAATGCTAAATGGCGCGCCTTTGAAGATACCACAGACGTATAAATAAATTGTAGAGGTGTAGAATAAAATTGAAATGAGCTTACATATGTACAAACTGGTATGAATAATAATGTTACGAGTTTAGAGTTTGTGACAGTAAAAACTGCCGATTGAATTACCAAAAAACTTTAATTACTGAACACCCATTAAAACTTAAATCACACTAATAATTAATCGCACTGATCACTTTACTGTTCACTTTATTTCGCTCCGAGGCTTCGCTTGTATCGACAATTCAATACTTCCCCGATCACGACTTACAGCGGCTTTAAATACACCTTTTCCACCGAAACATCCAGAATATAACAGTAAATACGGGCGCCGACCGAATATGCGCTGAAAGTTCGAGTGTGGGGCTTCTAGAAAGCTTAATTCTTCTGTTCGATACTAGATGGCGCTGTTGGTGGAAAGTTCAAGATTGACATTTTCTAGGAAGTCCTCCTCGCTCTGGTCCCCGACACTAGATGGCGCTAGTGCCAGGTACCAGTCGTCAACTTAGGCGCGCAACAATAATATATGGCAATATTCGTGTCATCAATTCTCTAGATCAGTAATTTAATCTCCTCCTGCAGTGATTTCGTGTAACTCTGGTGACAACTGTGATAGTCTTCATGTGACGTTTGACGTTTCAGTTCGTTATATTGAATGAACGTAGAACTTAGAAGTGTAAAGATTACAAGCCAATGTCTAATTATACTAGCATCTTATTTAAGTTTATCAAATTATGTCCTTCTGACCGAATTCCGGTCACGATGGCCTGTCTCAACGAAGACTATCTGATAGCAGCGCGGGACAGGGTAATAGTAGTAATAGTGCAGGAGTGTGTGCGCAAAACACTGTCTATTTCCTAACTCACAGTCCAGTGAGGCGGCAACATGACACGACCAGGACCATTGTCTTTACGTGTTTACGTGTTTTCGAATACACATGACTATATGATTAGTAGTCTGTGCGAAGTGGTTTCCAATAGCAGCGACTCCCTCCAGAATTGTATCGCACTGCAGGTTTGATTGCTAGCTGATGCAAAGATTTGCATATTCATACGGGAAGAAAGATAATTATTGCCAGTCGACTTCGAAAATAGTTAGAAGTTCTCAATTCGACTGTATGTTCTTTAAATATAATTTAAACATGAAATTGTAAGCTTGAAAATCGAAAAAGTTAAAAATTGTTTTATGCACAAAATAAGCACGTGTAACGAAGTTTATTTTAACAAGATAATAGTTTTCGAAATAACAAATTATTTTAGTATTTAAAATGTATCTGATTATTCTTTACTTTTAACTTTGTAAAAATAAAAGGTACACTGAAAGCTGATTGTATAATAGGAACATTTTGTTGTAATTTTTTTAAAAGGCTTTTTATGTGAATTGCAAACAATTTCTTACTCATAAATCCATTCGGAACTTACCTACCTGCTTACAGACTAATTGTACTACAAGCTCTCTTTTTACAACAAGAGATCTCTTTTCATTTTTGGTAAGTACTTTAAACAAGAACATAGAAGAGCTAGTTCCAAGCTGCTTTGGGCATGTTTTTGAACTTTATGACTCGTGGAACAAGAACAGTTGTTTAGGTTTTGACCCAACAGTTTTAATCTGTTATTTATAATAAACTGGTGTTATTTCTTGTACGATATTATCTTTTTACTCCTATTATATCTTATATATTGAAGTGACTCGTATGTGTATATTTCAATGAAGTAACCAAATGGTAAGGTATTCAAGGTTAAAATATTATTTAATTAATTATTATAAGTATTTTTGGGCATTAAACAAGAAAAATTGAATTATTATGTTTTATTTCACACATTTATTCGGTATAAGATAACAACTAGAGATACTTATCCTCCCATGAACTTTGTAGTTAATAGCAGTAACGAGATCATAAGTGCTTCTGCCCCGCGAATGTAATGGGTATGAAACGTCGTGAAATCGTAAAAAATGTTAAAATTAGAGATATGATAAATGAAAGTCTCTGAGTAATATTACGTACAAAAACGATAAAAATATTTAACATTGACAAGTAATCAACAAAGTAGCTAATGCGTAGTATTTTTGTTTACATAGTACGAATACAATTAACATCCAGAAATGTATATAATTGACCTGTTCTTACAAATAACGTATATGAAGCGAAGCACACTGGTTGTCAATCCGTGTGGAAGTCGAAGGGAATAAATCCAAGGTCTCACTGGATAGCCAAAGACATAGACAGAAACAACGTTGTACGATATTTTGATTCTTTTGGTCAACCAGGGTTCCACCGAAGTTTTCAGAACGGAAAATCTAGGGTGTGAGATTTCAATGACAAACGGATATAAAATAATTGGACTTCAATATGAGGGAAGTACTGCGTGGTGTATTTGTACTATAAATTACATCGTAATGGCTGCATTTTACGAATGTTTACGAGGAGAATAAGATAATCGTGAATGGTATGTTGATGTATGAATTGTTTCATTATTATCATCAACTAGCAAAGCGCCCCTGCTTCGTAGCAAAGTATCGCAACAAGTGCCCGAAGCGTGCCTTACAAATCTGCGGTAAGTCGAGATGAAAATAAGTTAGACTGGCTTACAGGAACTGAAAACTGCAGAAGATGATTGTCAGGAGTGAATGGTAGGAATAGGATTTCTTGAGAATAATGACGAAGGATTGAAGTTGTAGTTTCTGAAAGCTGTTGGTTGCGTGTTCAGATCACCACTGTGGCCGTGCAAGGAAAAGGGGAGATCTCCCGCCGGGCAAGGTGTTCTGCCTGAGGAGCGGCCAATGCTTCGTGTGATAGATGGCTTTTTTTTTTGCGCCCGAAGCAATTAAAGGGCTACCCTATACGTAGGGAGGCGGAAAATGCATTACGCATACCACGATAGCCGGTCTATCGTGGTTATGAGGGACTCACTGTCCTACCGGGGACCCTAAGTGATACCCTCTAAAAACCGCCTTTGGGGACAGGCAACCGGCTGATTAAGCTGTATTGTGCCTTATCGTGAGCGACCCTCTTGTGGGAAAAGAGGGCGCAGGCGGCTACGAGCCGCTGAGGGAGTGCCTACGAAGGCAAATTAATATTAGTTAATATAATAATTTAATTTAATTAGAGTTGGCCTGAGCCGCCAGGAGGCAGTTCAGATCGTTAGTTAGTTTATTAGGCGGGTCCGAGAGAGAGTTTCTCGGCCTGCGGACTCGATAGCGAGAGGGGGGGTGGGGTGCATAAGTAGCTGCCTCACGAATTAAATGATTTGAGTGCGACTCTGAGGCTTTGAAGAAGTTCTCAGAGAGTTTTTGGAGAAATTGTTGGATTGTGGGGAGCTCTAGGTCCCGATGAAGGTCAGCATTACGGACGTACCAAGGTGCGTTCGCAGCTCGACGACAGAAAAGGTTTTGAACTATTTGGAGTTCATTAATGATTTTAGGGTTTGCGTGGGCAAAAACGGGGCCCGCGTATGACATGACTGGTCGTACACAGACCTTATAAAGGGTACGCTTGTTTCTAGGGGACATTTTACTGTGTCGGCCCAACATACAGTTGAGCCTACTCAGATAGAACCGTGCGTGACGGGTTACTCTTTTGACGTGGGGCCTGAAAGTGAGCCCTGTGTCTAGAGTGACACCTCAATATTTGGTGGTCGTATGCCAGGGGACAGGGGTCCCTAGCATACGTATTGGTGGGGTGTTTTTAAGACGGCGTCGTTTATAATCGAAGTGAACGGCGGAGTTCTTCTCCGGGTTCACATCGATGCGCCATTTTTTGAACCAAGCTCCTAGGTCATCAACTGACTTTTGGATCTTGTTCCGTATGAAGGGTAGTGAGACCTTTGCAGTAGATGGCAGTGTCGTCTGCGAAGAGGGAGAGCTGAACACCTTTCGACGGGATGGGAATGTCGTTGGTGAACAGGATGTACAGCAGAGGAGTGATAGATAGCTTGGGGCTATTCCATATATACTATTTTTACTTCGGGACTTTGATAGCGCGATTTAGACTTCGACGTGTTACGCTTGTGGGGTGACTACAGCGCCTAAAAACGAACCTTAAATGTTTATTTTTTTAAATTTACTCGGGTGTTGGTTATATTTTACATAGGACATCAAAAAAAAACATTACTATTTTAAAATTTTAAGATTTCTACAAATATGATTTTTATTATATCGGTTACAGAAATTAATTTTAAAAAAGAATACTATTAAAACTATCAAGTTTAAATAACAAAAAAATAATTTATCAAACATTTAAAATAGGATAATATATAATTTTAAGGAAAGTTGCTTTTAGAAAAGAAAAAAAGGATTAAACTTTTAATAATAGCGAATTTTATATAACCCCTTTGGAAATTTTATACATTTATATAAAATGCAAGTAGGTTATAAATCATTAGTTTTATTTTAATTAAAAAATATGCAAAATTTATTGATGATAAACCATGGTAAATATACGTACGTAAAAATGTGATTATCGCATTACTTCGTTCTTTTTTTGCAGAACACAGCAATCAAATAAATATACAACAATAACTGAATAAAAGTATCTGTGCCTTAATACAAACATGTAACATAAGTGCTTATACATAACTCAATTTAAAATATTTTATTATGATTTTTGATAAAATTTTTAAAAATAAAAATCGCTTTATATTACATTTAAATATAACTATTATATTATTTATAATACAATATAAACAATCACAACTAACAAGATTTTTATGTATTAAAGAATAAAAAATAACACTGGCGCGATCATCATCATCACAGCCTACAAAGTCCACTGCTGAACATAGGCCTCCTCATATATTGCCTCATAGGAGGGATTTTTCCACTGGTGCAATATTACCTTTTAATATCTTCTTTGTTCTTTTCGGCCCAATTTTCATATTCTTTTGAGCTAAGTTTGCTAGCAACTGCTCTTACAAAGCTTCATTTTACTTCCCATAATGATAACTATTATTTTAATCTTCATATTATCCTTCTAATCTTTATAATATTTGTCTTTTTAAGTTGATTTTCTTTAAAAGTTATAGGTCCAGGAGGAATAGGCGCATGAGTAACGAAAACTATTCCACATCAATTTTTTATGCAATTCTCTAATCCATGTCGCCTGTTATACATACGTATGAGGGAACTCGTATGGAACAGATATACTGGTAAATTACACTTGAGCGTACACAGGTACATGCCTAGTTTGTTTTCATGTTGAAAAATACATCATAGTTATTTTATTTGGACACCATCGTCCAAGACGCTTGGGATAGTGTCCAAATAAAATAACGATGGATTAATTTTCGACATGAAAATTAACTAGGTACATACCTCAGTAGGTATGTAGTTTATTTTCATGTTGAAAAGTAAGTATACGTCGACTCATTAGTTAGCACCTATAGGCATAATTACGAGTCGTATAATTTGGACCTGTCTATAATATTGTTACGAGCTTAGGGTTCGTGTCAATTAAAAACTGCCGATTGAATTACTAAAATTAACACTTTAATTACTGAACACCACCTAAAACTAAAAATACACTAGTAATTAATCACACTTAACACTTTAGTTCACTTTATTTTGCTCCGAAATCTTCGCTTGTGTCGCCAATTCAATTAGCACCGGTCGCGCTTCTTACCGACTTTATATAGGACCTTTTCCACCGAAAGCATCTAGAATCTTCGAGTAGAATGTCGAAAGTTCTAGCAAAGAATTCTCCAGAAAACCCTCGCCACTCGACACTAGATGGCGATAGTAGGAAAGTTCTAGAAAGATCTTGACGCTCCTATTTCTGCTACTATATACTAGATAGCGCTAATAATCACCCGCCATATACCGGGTATTAATTATGGCACGCAACAATATAATATAGGTATTGCTACACGAGGAGGCTCTTTTGGTGCACCTAATTATTATCAGAAACTATTTTATAACTAAACGCTCGTTATATCAACCAATTACAAAACATTTGTATACGGCGTAGATGTATTCAACTGTTAGTGAGTTGACTTTGAGTATTAAACCAAAGGAGACGGCATCGCAAGGCATACCCCTCTGTAAAAGGTATGAGAGTCTGACCCATAGCCGCCATATAAAACTACATATTTGCTCCGCGTCGTGCGTCTTAGCGCCCCCCTTTCACCCAAGGGGGGTCGCGTTCGTATACGGCTTAGAGATCTCTAGCTAGACCGTTAAGCCAGTCCCTAAAGGCGGTGTTTAGTGGGTAAAAGTCTCCACATAACCACGCAGCCATCTGCGTGGTATGCTGTGAGCATTCACCGCCTCCCTCCCCCGCTTTCCGGAGGGTTGCCCTTATTGCTTTGGGTGCAAAAAAAGTCGTGCGCCATTACGCAAGTGATCGTGCCATTCAATTGAGCTCCGAAAAAAGTTCCTAATTGCAGTGTATTTTCATGCAGAAAACAATCAAAACCGTCAAATTTACAAAAGAACAACGTGACTTTTCATCTATGAATACTTTTCTCGTAATATTATCGTTATAACACGTATAAATATATTTTCGTAAAATATCGTATTTATATTTTCGCTGAATATTTTCGTAAAATATCAAGTGCTGCCAGCAAAGTTCATGAAGTGAAAAATAAGCGATTTTAAAATAAATATAATTTACTACACAAAATAAATATATTAACGAAAATTTATTTCATATCAACTAAATCAGTTCGTGATGAATAATAATCATTTCTCATCACAAACTGAGTAGTGGATTTTGTTAAATGATTTAAATATTCAGGTCAATCCCAACACGATTCTGAATATATTATAATTTATTATAAACGATAATTAGTCTTTATCAAAATATTATACGAAATAAACGCCGAATAACTCGAATCGAAACTTGCCACTTCGTAGAAAAAGTATGCAATTTTTGTAAATTAAACTGATATCATTGCAACTGAAAGTACTGCATTGTAGTGGTGTACGCCAACTTTAGCTATCGATAAGTTAATTAACCCATTCGGGTTTGTCTGCCGAACAGGTTTTTATTTTTTGTTTAGATTTTATAATAAAGTATCACAAAGAGTAGTGAAATTATCTATTATTGGTTTAATAATAATAATAAACAATAAATAAAAATAGTTTATTCAGTAAATGATAATTGGTTTAATGATAATAAAAATTCTATAAAAATTATATCGTTCGAATACATTAGCACCTCAGTAGCATCTTCAATAGATTACCCATTGTTATGATAAAAACAAAAAATCATACTAAACTGACACAGACACAGTTACAAATATCATAGTCTCATATACAAACGTCATAAAACAATAATGTAGCCACGAACGCATTTATTGTGTACTCTCTTAGTAATTTACATACTAGTACCAAGTAATTACTTGTTATTAGTTTTTTAAGAATAGAAGACAAGTAAGAAAGACGGGCGACAAGAAAGTGAGAGTATATTCCCCACGTATCACATAGCATTAAGCTAAAAAAGGTTTATTTCACACTTCAAAAGTGAAATTATAACAATACGAATAAAAGTCCCGAGTTTTTCAAGTCTTAACACGGAAGTCCTGAAACCAGAACCAATTAAATTAATAAAAAGTACCGTGACCTTTGACACGAGACGACGTGTTGAAATAATTGTTGTATTAAACGATGTTTAACAAATATCGGGCTCTTTTATCAGTTTATCAGACAAGTGTAAAACTCTGCCTAGCCCTCTGGGTGACAGGCGTGATTATTTATGTAAGTACGTAAAACTTATTTCGGAACTAGATAGGTAAAATTGCCTTAGGAAATGTCCTTATTATGAATCATGCCTCTTATTATGGAAACCAAAACGTATGTGACGCGGCTTATATAAGGCACGATATCACATTTGCATGTGAAAAGCCTGTTATTCCTGATGCATAATATCCAATACCTTTAAGCGAGCAATTTTTGTAATATATATATATATATATATATATATATATATATATATATATATATATATATATATTATATATATATATATATATATATATATATATATATATATATATATATATATATATATATCGGAAACGGCTCCAACGATTTTCATAAAATTTAGTATACAGAGGATCTAGCTAGGACTCATTTTTAGAAAATGAAGTTTTATGTATGTTTTTAGGCAATAAAAAACTGCTACAATATCATTAGAATACGAAAGTAAATACTGCATACATATTTCCAAAAAAAAAATTGAGCAAAGCTCGGTAATCCAGGTACTATAATTATTAAATACCTTATAATCGCAAGTGATTAACAATTAAAACAACTGAGCACGTGGAGCTTTTCTTTAATCCCGGAAATGAACAACATACAAAAATGTGACAGCGCAATACTTCATTCCTAGAACGTTCGAAAACTACAACACCAATTTTAATACCCCATCACGAAATAAAGAGTATTATTTCGTTAGCTATATATCGTCCTCCATCGCATAGAAACGCAACACTTATTGAATAGTTAGACTTAATCTTAAACTATCTTAAAAATTAAATAGGTTTTCAAATAGAAGACATAAATATAAATATATCACCTAACAGTTATCAGCGTTATTCATTCAATAACATATTTTATCTCACCGTTATCATATAATTGCGTAATTGTATTCATTGCTATGCTACCAGCTCGTTTGTTTCCTAAACGATGTGGAAAAAAATTGCTGAGATCATGATTGATTATTAGATAGAATAAACCAGTAATTACTTTGGTACGTGAATCTACCACTACCGATAATGCCCATTTATCTTCTGTAAACGTAAATGTGGTAATACCATGTCCTTGAAGAAGATTACTGGTATTGTTTTAACCACTTGCATGACTGATCTGAAAAATTCACTTTTTATCAGTAGTTAAAGGGAAATATAACCTCAAATGGCTTAACAAGATCCTCCGTTTTGCCAAAAATATTGCAGCATTAATTTTGAAATAAATATATGGTAAAGTTGAGGATTAATGTTAAGTACAATGTTAGACGAAAACACGATTCTGTAAAATTTTCTCGATAGAAAAAAATCCAAAGTTCCCTCCAAAATAAACAATAAACCGCTGTTATTCATAAAATAGGGGAAAGTCGGGTAGCCCCGGACGGCGGGTAACGCCGGACATTTAAATATCAAAGAAACTAAACACGTTGCGTAGGTAAAACTTTACTATAAATGTGCGCCCTCTGGAGTAAAAGCAAATCCAACTCAGTTGCGGTGTGGCCGCCAAGCTAGTTACCCGTGAGTGTGTGTTTTGTTCCCGCCAAAAAAACTTCGTCGCTCCTGTCAAACTTCATTGAAGGATTACTAAGTACAATACGTAAGTGTGTAAACTTGTCTATTATTTATGTTGTAGCCAATTTTATACATTTGAAGTTTGTAACAGGATTTTAAACAATTTATTAACTATTTAAGAGCTGTGTTTAAAAATGTTAAATGATAACGATCGGGTACCCCCGGACACGATAATGTCGGGTACCTCCGGACAGTGGTTTAAGTTTTGAATTTCGCAATATTGTGTCAACAAATTACAATTGTTTTGTCAGTTTGCTTTTTTATGGAAAGTATTTTAAAATGTTTTTACTATTGTTGCAGAAAGATCTAAAATATGCCGAAATTTAAGGGAAGAATTAGCGATAGAGGAAAATGGGACGAAAATAAAATGAAAGAAGCTGTTAAAAATGTGATGGAAGGCAAGTTATCTGTAAGACAAGCGGCAGACAGGTTTGATGTCCCAAGAAGCTCACTTCACGATCGCCTGAAAGTTTTGAAAAGTGGCAAAGAGGTTGCTTTTTACCCGAAGTTGGGGCGATTTGAAACCACATTTTCTGAAAACTTTTCTATGCAACTATATGAGCACGTTAAAGAACTGGACAATCGTCTTATGCCATTAAGTAGGAAGGAGTTTTTAAAATTAGCGTTTGATTTGGTAGAAAACCTCAAAATCTCTCATAGATTTAATAAAGAGAGGAGTCGCAGGAAAGGACTTTTTTTACAGTTTTAGAAAAAAATATCCTAATATTGTTTTAAGAACTCCCGAATCGACTAGCATTGCGCGGGCTGTTGGGTTTAACAAACCACAAGTTAGCCGTTTCTTTGGCCAGCTTAATCACCTTCAAGAGAAATATAAATTCCCTCCTTCTAGAATTTACAACACCGATGAAACAGGGGTATCAAATGTGCATAAAAATGATAAAGTCATTTCGATAAAAGGAAAAAAACAGGTTGGTAAATTAACATCTGCAGAAAGAGGTCGAAACATCACATTAACTTTTGCGATGAATGTCACTGGTCATTTCATACCACCCCTTTTCATTTTTCCTCGGAAGAAAATGGATAAGAACGGTCGCTTGATGATAGGAGCTCCACCAGATAGTATTGCTACTCCTCAAGAGAGCGGATGGATGAACGGTGAGGTGTTCTTCCAATGGTTGCAACATTTTAAACAACATGTTCAGCCAACAGAAACAAATCCTGTCCTCTTAATTTTGGATGGCCACGCTAGTCATAAGGAGCTGGCAGTTATAAAATATGCACGTAATCATCACATTCATATGCTGAGCACACCACCTCATACAACTCATAAATTACAGCCGTTGGACAGGACATTTTTTAAACCTTTTAAGTCTGCATTTGCAACTGCAAGTTCAGCATGGATGAGGCGAAATCCTGCAGCTAGAATCACTGACTATGATATTGCTGCACTTGTGGACGAAGCCTTTAGCAGAGCAGCAAGGTTGGATATAGCACAAAACGGATTCAAGTGCACAGGAATTTATCCATTTAACCCTGAAATCTTTACTGACATTGATTTTTTTACCATCAATGATGACAGATGTGATGCAAGAAGTTTCTTCCAAAGAAAATATGGCCAATCAGTTCTCAGTAGCACATTCTTCGCCAGTGCCCTCCACTAGTCATGCATTACCTGCAAATGAACCGGAGTCTTCAACCAGCTCAACAGATATATTGAAACAGCTATCACCATTTCCTGACGCATCGAAAAAACGGTCGTTAAAGCGGGCTCGAAAAACTCAAAGGAGCGAGATTATAACATCATCACCTTACAAAAAAGATGTAGAGGAAAGACAGAAAAGTAGAGACAGAAAACCGAAAAAACAAAAAAGTAAAGGCACTAAAAAGATGTTAAAAACAACTAAAAATATTCAAAGTCTTTCCAAAGAAAATGGAGAGGAAGAGACCGAATGCATCATATGTGGAGAAACATTTGAAGAGGACTGGATTCAGTGCCAGGAATGTAAAAACTGGGCCCATGAAGACTGTGTTTACATAGATTCTTCGGATGTTTATTTTAATTGTGATGTTTGTAAGGCCAAAAAACGATTAGGCCAGTATTGATTATTATGTCCGGGGCTACCCGCCGTCTTTTGTATCGTCAAAAAAATGAGACCAAAGTATTTTCAATATATTTCCTTAAAAAAATGATATGATTAATAATTTTAATTATTATGATTAAAGAAGTTCCTAGCTTTACTTTAAGTGTAAAATAAAGACAGAAATTTTGTTTATTAATATTTTTATTTGCAATTGATTTTAGTGTCTGGGGCTACCCGAACTTCCCCTACTTTAAATAAGTTCATGAAACTTTGCATACTAACTGAACTAATTATAAAGCAGGGCTTACGTTATTTAATTTTTTTTAAAATACCATTATTTTCACTGTAAAAAGAAATCACATAAACTATGGATTGAAGCTTGTTTCCTGCCGCCCGGTTAGTATCGCTTCGGCTTTTAAAGGGGAAGTTATGTCGCTTACGATCAGAATACACATTACGCAACAGGACAACGTAAAATTAAAATGGGAAATAAACGTAATAAAAATAAGAAGGCGAAGGCGGGGTTGGCGTTAAGAAAAAGGCATAAATATAATAAACCTAATGAAATAAGTATCTAACGACCTATCTACTTACAGTATTAGTGATTACAAACATGTCGGTACATAGCATACGACGCGCGGGGAAGTGGGAGCGAAATTAGAATTTGAGCTGACTTACTATATCCCCTTAATACGAATGATGCAACCAAAACGACTTCTGAAATAATAAATATTATATATTTTCATTTGTTAAAAACAACTTTCGTTCCTTTAAGGGTTCTCAGCAAACAAAGAATTACGATATAATCGAAATAAGAATAAAGTTTATCGTAGAATAAAGAAGGGGTATACCCCAAGGCAGTGTTACTTGGACCTACGCTTTTCAATATCTATAAATAAGGCACACTGAAAATGCTGCGCTCTTGGCACCAGCTCATATATTGATTAAAATATTTATGACGGGAAGTCACGTGTATATCGCTTGTTATCACAAGTTGGAGTTCGTCATCCGTAAGATAAGTGAAATTAACGTGAAAAGATGTTAGAGTATTTTTTTATGAAACTAAAAATTCACTCTCTCCGTAAGATTGCACCACTCGCCTTTAAAATGCCCTTAGGAGAGAAGCACCTCATGTGAACATCGTGTGAGGTGTTGGTACGCAGAGTTTGATCACGGCCTTTTTTGAAAATGAATGAAAGCTGTGAAGGTCGAACTTCAACAGCGATCAGGAAAATTGGGCTATTGTCAGGCTACTAATTGATAATAATAATTTATAAATAAGGGGATTCGAGGACTATTGCGTATTGGTTAATTCAGACATTTTACATCAATATTTAAAAATTAGAAAACTTTGTCACCGCTGATTTTTTTAGAAGAGGGGGCAAACGAGTATGCGACTCACTTGATGGTAAGTGAATATTGCCGCCCATGAAAAACTGCAACACTAGGGGAATTGCAGGTGTGTTGCCGGCAGAAGTAAGCTCTTTTCTTGAAATTCTCTAAGTCGTATCGGTCCGGAAAAATCGTCAGTGGTAAATGATTCCACAGAGAGATTGTGCGAGGAAGAAACCTCCTGGTAAAACACACAGTAGTGGACTGCCAAGCGTCCACATGGTGGGGATGATATCGCGAATTTTGACACAACGTGCGTTCATGAAATTTGGCGGCTGGAACTAATCCGAATAACTCCTCAGAGCACTCCCCGTGGTAGATGTAGTAAAAAATGCAAAGGGTTGCAACATCCCCTTGCAGTTCCAGCAAATCGAGCCAATTTAAAAAGAACTTGGTCGTCGACTATATGAGCCGCTGTGCGCTGGATGCGATCAAGTGAAAGGAGCTGGCACTGGGGTGCCCCGGTCCAGAGATTAGAACAGTATTTCATGTAAGGTGGAACTTGCGCCTTGTAAAGTTGCAAGCGGTGTGCCGGTACGAAATACTGTCGCGCTCTGTTGAGCACACCAAACTGTTTAAAAACAAATTTGACCCTGCCTTGCAAGTGACCTGCACATCATTCTATATGACCACGCCGAGGATTCCATCCCTAATAAGCTGATGATCCTCAAGGTATCTCATAAGCTGGCAGTTTATAATGTTTTCCATTATTTTGGAGAACAAGGAGGTGATGGCAATAGGCCTGTAGTTGGACGGGTTTGAGCGGTCGTCTTTTTTAAGGGTCGGCTGGATCAAAGCTGTCTTCCATGAAGGGACAAGGAGTACGAAAAAAGCCGCATTATAGCCGATGCCAGCTCCAGAGCACACATCTTCAGTTTAATGAGAGGCACCTCAATAACTCACCCTAAAACAAAAACGTTATTAAACTATGATCACGTACTTTCAAATGCTGTATGGCATTGTGACAAGAGATAAACATGGATATATTGTTACATTTCGGAAAGAAAGCAACAATCTTCTGTATGAGTGTTTGAAGGCGAGAACAAAGAAACAAAATTGATGTGGGCAAAAAACGTGGGCAAAATATATTGACTTTTTTCTCCCAGACGGGTCTTGTCTACACAATTCCACTTGATAAGTAAAAGACGACCAAGAAGTCACATCCTATCGCAAAATAATAAAGCTTTGACGCACACCGTGAACAAGACAAAATCCGTTTATACTTTAAAAATTGGTGCTCGTGACCCATCTCACAAACAGTCCAAATCTAGCACAGTGAGATTTCTTTATTTTCCGAAAACTCAAAGATTTGATGAGAGGTTTAACATTTAAGGCGCCATAAGAGGCCGTGATAGCTTTCATCTAGCACCTGAATAACACGCTCTTAGACCAGTGTATCTTATGTTTCAAAAAGGATTTGAAATAATTCAAGTGTTTAGAATGTAATGGAGAATACTTTGAAAAATTGTAAACAAATATATTTTTTAATATACTGGAAATGCTATTAACATTACTAATATTCGCTTTAACTACTCATGGTATTCACTTTAACACCTCAAAAAGCTTGTGTTAGGAGTGGTGGATGCAAACCCACAATCTTTTAAGTTCGCGGTCAGCGCTCTGCTATTAGGCTATTGTCGCTTCATTAATTTACATATAATTTGTTTTATTTATGAGTTACGTAAAATTTTCAGTGTACCTCACGTACGAATAACTTATGCAGAATTTTTTCGGAATTATAAAAATTATAAAACCACAAGTGGGAAACTCATGTCACCCACGGGTGCAGAAATTGCGCTATAGGTTGTCAACAAATTTACTAAAAATAAATTTAGGTAAGGTAAAGTTCGCAGTCATCCTCTTTTTGTCATTATTTATAGATAATGTTACAAAACACCTGATATAATATGTATAGATAGATAGGTAAAACGATGTTAAAATTTACTTACAGCTTAACAGTGCAAAATGAATGCTATCTGGTGCCTAGAATAGAATAGAATAGAATATCGTTTATTTCTTAGTATATGGTAATTACAGATGTTGAAATTATAGAATGATTCACATATACTACCGTATCCGGTGTAGAAATATTACAATTAGAATAATATTTAACACTTTATAGTTCTTATTTAGACAATTTATACATTTATAACATTATATAGGAATTATCAATTGTAGATATATATTATTATTATTATTAATACAATATTGGGAGCATTCATTTATGTATAATTTATAAATTTATAATCTATGAAATCGTTAACAGAATAAAAACACATATCCAAGAGCCAAGAAAATATTGCACGTTTAAATTTATTTATAGGCAACTGTCTAATCTGTGGTGGCAGCTTATTAAAGATTGTTATTGCCATGCAGTGGGCATTACGACTATACAAATAAAGTCTTTGGGATGGTGCCACCAATTGGTTTGGGTTTCTGTCTTGGATCCTCTTGGAAACACGTTCATTTATTGGAAATAGATAGGAATATCTCTTAACGAACAAACATATTTCAAAAATATAGAGACAGGGCAGTGGAAGTATCTTTAATTTTTGAAATAATGGCTTACAATGATCTAAATAATTAGCGCCACACATGGATCTAATACATTTTTTTTGTGCTTTAAACGCCCTGCCTATATTCACTGAATTACCCCATATAACTAATCCATAGCGAAGTACTGAAGAGACGTATCCATGATATGCACTGAGGACTGTTTCTTTACTGGCTGTGAGTCTTAGTTTGCGAAGAGCAAATACAAATTTATCGAGTTTACTACACACTTTATCTACATGTTCTTTCCAGTTCAATTTACCATCAATAATTATACCTAAAAATAATGTAGATTGTACTGGTTGCAAAACAGTATTATTATATTGTATTTTAACAGGGTGGCACTTTGAATTTAGAGTTTGGTACTGTATTAATTTAGTTTTATTTAAATTGACATGTAGATTATTCTCTTGTAACCATTGCACTGCATTTTGTAACTCATTATTAGTTTCAAATTCGAGATTATTTTTGTTTAAACAGCTTATGGTTAGTGTAGTGTCGTCAGCAAACAATGTGCATTTATGTTTTAGGTTACTACAGAGATCATTAATATAAATAATGAATAAAAATGGCCCTAGAATGCTGCCCTGCGGCACACCACAACTATTAAGTTTAAGTTCAGATTCATATGTAAC